TTAGTACACATTACATCCCGCGTGATGAGTCACGGCCCGTGTTCCCTATTCTATCCATAGAGAAGGCCTGTGCCCAGCAGTGGGGAGTCCCCACTCTTAATTCTTATTACCCGACTGCGCAATGCAAGAGCGCGAAGCACATCGCGCAGACAGGGTATAGTGTTTAACAGTCTATATATGTATGTTTGTTCCTTTGTGGCACACTAGAGACCAAACGCCTGGACCGATTTTGATGATTCATGCATCAATCGATTCGTCTCAATCATGAGAGTGCTGCTAAAAAATTCAATATGGGCAAAATGATTCAATATGGGCAAAATGATGTACCTAACTGATAAAGTGAAACAAAACTTTTGTTTCACAATATCAGCTAAGAATTCAGGGCAATATAACGTTCGCATATTAGAAATTATCTGTCCGCCACGCACCATTTCCGAACGCATCGTGCACGCCACGTTATGGCAGCTGTATCTCATGGATGTACTTGTTAGCTCATTAGCAAGTAATTAGTGAAAAATACAATATAAAAAATCGAGTGAGTGACGTGAACACTCGGTTGGAACGAAGTTGAAAATATGTACATACCACCCGCCAATCTGCACTGGGCCAGCGTGGGGGGTCTTGGCCAAATCAATAGGTAGATTTGGCCACCATTAAAAAAAGTATTCTACCCATCAATCTGCAATGGGCCCAGTGCGGATGGGCACAGTGCGGAATGGTCCCAGTTTGGAGTGGGCCCAGTGCGGAATGGGCACAGTGCGGAATAAGGCCAGTGCGGACGCTCCCGGTACACCACACACAAATAAAACAAATCGTAGATACCGTTTGGAGTGTGAGTTTAACATCCCGGTTAACTTTTTGAGCAATGACCAGACAAGGAATCCTGCTCAGTAGCAATTTTATATACTGAAACGTCTAATTTTATCTGTGGTTTTGCTCAAGCAGTATGGTGGGCGCTTACCATCAAGCGGGCCTTAAGTGAGGAGCTCAATGACGCAAGTAGTTAATGCGTCCGGCTGCGACCGTTGAGGTTAAGCAACTTTCGCAGTGGTCGGTCACTGGATGGGTGACCAAAAATTTATTATCTCGAGCTCCACCGTGCTTCGGAAGGCAAGCTAAGCCGTTGGTCCCGGCTGCATCAGCAGTCGTAAGCACCTATCAATATCCCTATTCCATTAAAAAGGAAGGCTTGTGCCCCAGCAGTGGGGACATTCATAGGCTGGTCATGTGATGATGATGTGATGTGGGTCATACGCTTGTTTGCCACTCTTTTAACTCTTGGACACAGCGCGCATCGTCAGACGGTTTCTCTCTCTGCGGCCCTAACTACCGGTAGCTTGGACCTAGTCCCGCAGCTGGTGGCCTTCTACGTTAGGTTTTTTATATGATACTAGCTGACCCAGCGAACTTCGTACCGCCATAAAAAAATAGGGGTAGGTGGAAGAAGAGTGTAAATTTAGGGTTGTATGTATTTGTGTATAATGTTACATAAAAAAAATAAAAAAATATCTAAAATTAAAAATAAACAATTTAGGGGTGGATTACCCTTTAAATTTAGGGGGATGAAAAATAGATTACATCCGATTCTCAGACCTACTGAATATGCATATAAAATTTCACGAAATCGGTCGAGCCGTTTCGGAGGAGTTTAACCACAAACACCGCGACACGAGAATTTTATATATAAGATTTATATTTACGTTTTTGTACAACTTTTATAACTATTTAATAAAAAACCTAACTGTTAAAATAAATGAGATGATAATAATAATAATAAAAAATAATAAAAACTTTATTTTCTCTCTATAACTTCAGCTCGACGTCTACACACATTAAATTATGTAATTTCAATAATTATTTATAAAAAAAGCATTGTCTCTCAATCAGGACGTACACGAAAACAGTACAATGGAGTGTTGAATAATAAATTTGTAACAGTCCGGCGTGTGCGCATGGATTATTAACTAGAGTCTAATGCTCCGCTAACACATTAGTTTGTTTTGTGTTCGAGTGGCCTGGATTTTAACAAATCAATGGCCTGCCCGAATTGCTTTGGAATTAGAATTAGTTAAGTAATTAATTCTTTCATATGTCCCGGAAAATGTTGCCTTCTATCAAAAAGCGCAAGATAGAATATCTTGGCCACGTGCTCAGGAACAACAGATACATGCTGCTCCAGTTGATAATGATGGGCAAAGTGGACGGAAAGAGACGTGCTGGGCGAAGAAAAAAGTCATGGCTCCGGAATATCCGGGAGTGGACCGGTATTGCCTCCGTCGAACAGCTGTTCCGGCTGGCTGCTGACAGAACTACATACAGGAAGCTAACGGCCAACCTTCAGGATTGAAGAGGCACTGGAAGAAGAAGTAATTAATACACGGTCCGAGGAATAGGGTATTTGACAGTATTAAAAATAAAGTGCCAATTGTAAGCATCTGTGTTTAGAATGAATATTGGCAGGGGTTTTTACTATTTTTACAAAAAAAAAATTCACAATTTTACTATAAACCCTCGAAAAAGATAATAGTTTTCTTATCTATTGGCACGTGACACAAAACGCTTGGGATTGGCGGAGCCTAAAATGAAGTCACACGAAAGTAAACTTCCGGTTAAAGTGACATTTGTCATTGTATCGTTTGACGTTTTAATAACAGTCGTGTGACGTCACACACTAGTAAGACGCCATATTGTCCAGAAAAACGTTTTCGCGGCAATATGAAAATGGAGTTTTTGATTTGGTTATTTTTACTGAAATATACAACAGAATGATGAATATCCACTTTTTACGGACTCCATAAACATTAGTCAATAACGTGAGATCGTTTTTTAAACTTGTCAAATACCCTATTTACATTTTTCAACATCGTAGGGTAGCCAAGGAGTTAATTTGCGATGAGATGCAATGCGACTTCGCATTGTAACAGTGAAGGATTAAAATTACAGTCATGGGAAAGAAATTGGGAAAATACTAGAAACAGTACTGGTAGACACTATTTCGACATCCAACCAACTATCCCAACTAAGCCATGGTATTTCAAACAAAAAAAATGTTCCCAAGCAGATTGTGTCAGTCCTATGTCGTCTACGCCTAGGCCACTCATGTACTCCGGTACATCTGAAGCAAATTAAGGTTAGAGATAACTCTCTCTGTGAATGTGGTATAGACGAAGGAACAGCGGAACACTTGTTATTTGACTGTCCCAAACTTCGATATTCCTTATATGATGTCCTTTCACATGATGTACCTCGACCTTTAAATGTTAAAAATGTCCTAAAATGGGTTAACTCACCCTTACTAAAAAAATGGGTGCGTGTACTTATGCAGGCGCGTGAGAAGTTATCCTTCTTTGGCATCGTTTAAAATTAGTTTTTAATTGCATGCAAATAATTAATTACAATAAATTAATAAAAAGTCTGGAAAAGGACACAGTCAATAAAGTTCAGTTTTAATTTAAAAAAATAAATAAATAATCAAAATATTCAATTAAAATCGCTACTGAATATAATTTATTAGAACATATGTGATTTGCACTTGCATGAAACTCAAACACGTATTCCGAATATACAAACTAGAAACATGTGGATAAATATTATAAATATGAATACCTATAACTGTTACTTTATTACAAAAAATAAAGATGTGGTTTTTGGTTCTACTACACCAATGGTCAAGAGATGGCGCTGTAGTCTCCTGAATCGCGCTTTGGTTCCGTTGTTCCAGATTAATAAATACTTTTGATAGGCCTTCACAATGCAGTCGTTAGCACCCACTAAATAGAGATTCTATTTCTAATTTGTTGGTAGATTTTCTTAATGTGCGGTAAACACAAAAGTAACGCATGAAGTTGGTCGCTAAAGCGACCAACTTCATGCTGTTAAAGTTTTGTGTTACAGAGATGCGCGCGCATCTTAAAATTTCACTCTCATCATTTTTTCATAACGCGCCTAAAGAAGTATAACTTCAATAATTATTAAATTTATACAATGTAACAAATTAAAGCTATAATTAGACACTTTTTCAACCTCCACTAAAATGTTAATTCTGTGTATTGTGATGTTTTGTGTTGTGTCGTGCATGCCATAAAATGTGTTGTGTTTTGTTACAGGGTCGTTAAAACAACATAGGAAGTGACAGAATTTTTAAAATAGTATTTTTAACTTCTCATTTCAAAATTAATTTTATTAAGAATCCCTTGTCGTGTAGTGGCTATCTACGTGAAATTGGCAGAATTGTGGGTATATCCCCGTTGAGCCATCAAAAAAAGAAATAAGAAGAAGAAGGATTAAAACTTAATATTTTAATTTCATACATGGGAAAGAGGTTAATTTATGCCACATTATTTAGGGTAGACGCTCAACGTTCAGTTTACAAATATTTTTAACGACTTTCGGACGAGGTTTTGTTTTAATGAAGTCGATTTTTAATTGTTTTTTTTTTCACCCATTGAATGTCCGAGGCATTAAATACTTACGTGGAACGTGCCACCGAACGTAGACAATACGTTGTGGCTCTTACATCTACAAAATGTGGGCGATTCTGTAAAATTCATTCTCACTTCCGATTTCGGTAGCTGCCATTTAAGACATTTGATTGAGCATTACGCCATTACCTACACGGCAGAATTTCGCTATATCTGTAGAAGCAGCCAGTATAAGAAGAGATTGTAAGTGAGATTACATCTAAAAGAATACCTATGCTGAGGGCCAATCGCCTAATGGGATTGCTATGGCTATCGCTTACGATTTCGTCTTGTTCGCGTTCGTCTTTTTTCTTTTGCATTGGTAATAACATTATTAAAGAAAATGAGCATGAGGTATTTGAAAACCTTCGGTGGTCAGATATAACAAAATGAAATCGCAAGCGATAGCAATAGCCAAAGTGATTCAGTTAGACAACTGACCCCCTGGTCTCTTATTAAATCCTAGTACGAATGTAGTAGAATTGAAATGAGTTAAGCATATATTTTTTTAATGCTAAAAACTTTTTTGTATTGTTACAGGTAGAAAATAACAACCCGCCAATGTGACCTCAAGACCCGGATGCCATATCGTTGAATCAATATTTATAAAAAATAAAATAAACACTCAAGTGATGTGACGCAAACGAGTGATGTGATTTACAAACGCACGGATGGACAAGAGTGAATTCTCTAGTGAAAAACAAGATGGCCGACGGTGGCACGAAATGGCGGACGAAGTGCCGCTTAGGAGCGGTGCTGTTCGCGATATTAATACAAGTTGTGAATGGTGAGTCTCTCTGTTTTATTATAAGGTAATATTATTAGGGTTCCGTATCTCACAAGAAAGAACGGAACCCAAGATCACTTTGTTGTCCGTCTTTGTTTGTCAAGACCCTATATGTCGGGAACGCGTCGAGGTAGCGAGTCGAAATTTAAAGCATATACTCAAGTTTACGGTCCCTAGAAGCTATGATAAAATCAAATTTCTAAGTTAACGCCAAAAGAGATATGGACGCTTATGTTGTGTACTTAAAAATGTACGGAACCCTTGGTGAGTTTGTCTCGCACTTGTCCAGTTTTTTATTGACGTGATAACGTCTTATAAATCGATGAACACCGGCTGCACACACGAAAAAGTATGACGTCATCTCACGTTATGTGACGTCATGTCACGAGTCACGAATTCAACATTCGGCGCCTGTCCGCGACTCCCCATGCATACGTACTACATTTTGTACATCACTTTATTATTTTTATCACGTAATAAGACATTCCTTTCATTTAAAATGCTATGTTATTTAGCAAAAAAGATAGGTCGTGTTTTTTTTTCGAAATTTCACTAGTTTGATTCCCCGTTGTAGCAGGCGATTTTTAAAAAGTCTGTGAATGCAGTTCTAGTTATTACTTAAAATAAAATGATGTCTTCTTTTAGTAACCTGTGTAACTATAATTTTCCAGTCCTTTTATTACTTTATTGTAATTAATTATTTGCATTCAATTAAAAACAAATTTTTAATAATGCCAAAGAAGTATAACTGATGATTGAAGACCTCCGTAGTCGAGTGGTTTGTACGCCGGGTTTCATGGTGTCGCCGACTCGAGAGGTCCCGGGTTCGAATCCCGGTGGGGGCAGATGTTTGTGTGCTGTATACGAGCATTTGTACTCCAGTCATGGATGTTTATTATGTATTTCTATATAAATATAGTTATATATGTACAGTATATGTATTCTATCTGTTACCCTAGTATCCCTTAACACAAGCCTTATAGTGCTTAGCTTGGTGCTAGGCTAATCGATGTGCGTGTTGGAAATATTTATTATTATTATAACTTCTCATCTCACGCACGTACACGCACCCATTTTTTTAACTGATATTTTTTTTAACTAATGCACAACACAATGATAAATAACCACTTTATAAACATACACAAATACCATAAGATCGTTTCCAAAAACTCGTCAAAAACCTATTTAATCAGAAAATTTGAAATTTGGTTTCCATATCTCTCATAAAATTCGCGTTATATTCTGTAAAATTTCTAATGCACTGGCAACTTTTCTCGCTACGCATTTTTTCTCACTAGAACCTCCGGATTTATAAACTCAGCCTCCATGCTACCAAATAGATTCAAAGCGTTCTCAATAAAAACTTGTTCGATGATTGTGTTTGCTTCAAAAAATGAAGTGAACGACCTCTCGGCCTTGGTCAGATAGCCAGATGGAAAAAAAAAATAGCCCAAAGAACTTTTGGAGGTACAAGCAAGAATGTACTATTTATAGTTTTGACTAGTGGCTCACCCTCGCTTCGCTTCGGTTTAGAGCTGAAGTGTAGACTACAGTTTTTGTTCTCAGGCTTGTATTATACACAATAACATAAATCTCTGATTCTTCTTATACCTGCATGCAGTCTCAGCCCGATCGGTTTAAAATTGACAAAGTTTCATACAAACGTTCATTCCCTATTTTATCCCCGTGGGGGTAGAATTGATCAAAATCCTTTCTTAGCGGATGCCTACGTCATAACATTATACCTGCATGCCAAATTTCAGTCCGATCCGTCCAGTGGTTTGGGCTGTGCGTTGATAGATCACTATGTCAGTCAGTCACCTTTGAGTTTTATATATTAAATAGATTCACATTTTGAATTATGACCTGATTTTAATTTTTCTGTGACTTGTTAATAAATTGTTATTCAATTATGTAGCATAGTATTTAGTTTAGTTTATCAGGGCGGTTTCCGCACTTAGTCCTAATTATTGGACCATTTTGTGTTTCTCGAAACATTCCCGTTTACTTCAGCCAGCCTATATCAGTCCAAAAGGAAAGCAGCCTTGGTAGACTGCTGCAAGCTTCCGAAACGATTCTGGCGACTGGAGAAGTCGTGCCCGTTGGTCGGCCACACTCCGGCATTCCATGATGACATGCTGTGGCGTTTCTACTGCCTCCATGCATCCTCTGCGTAGGGGGCTGTCTGTTACACCTATTGTATATAGGTGTTTGTTTAGTGGGCAATGACCAGTCAGGGTTCCTTTAATCTTGTGAAGTTTTTCCCTATTTAGTCTGGTAAGGGTACGGGCAAGTCTTTTGTTTGCCGCCGGCAAAGTATTAATCAAATTGTTTAAAAAAACTTGTATCAATTTGCATGCTATGGTCTATAGCTGAATAGGTGAAACCTACTACGGTTATTAGTAACTATTTGAGACCTTGATTACCCTGTTCAAATGCAAATAAATATTATTCTGTCATACTTAATAAAAACCAGTAAGTTTATAGTAGAAAACAGTTTTATTTCAAGCAAGTCTCATATTTTTTTTAATTAAATTAATGAAAATATAGCTCGCTGTACTGGGAAGTTAAAGAAAGACATTTTAGAATTTAAGTATTACTTTTTGGGGGTTTTCATGCAACTGGTTTAAATTTTTCTAAAACGAAGTTACGAATTACTTTTCCATAAAAACTTTAAGTAGGTATGCGAAAATTCTACACGCTTTAAAGTGCCCTTAAATAATTATTAATATAATGATAATGATGTCAAAAAACTAAATAACCATTAAATAAGATTACGCAGGTGTAGTGTAGAATATTTCCTATCGCCATAAACCTTTACTGACACTGATCTGATGTAAAAAAAAAACCCGGACAAGTGCATGTTGGCCTCGCGCACGAAGTGTTCCGTACTTATTATTCTATAATATAATCGACAAGGATCACCAAGAGCTGCATCCTAAATTTTTTTCAAGAAGATAAGGGGACAGGTCCATTTAAGTCTATTTTCTTAAATACCAAATGTTTAAAGTATTCACTTTACAATTGTAAATATATGTTTGAAAACTCCACATTGAGCCCTTGTATTTGATACAAAAGACGGTACAGTTAGCTAAATTTTTATCTTCATATTCACCCCCAAAAGTAATTCGGAATTTATTTATCCTTTATTCGTCTGTGTTTAGGTACACAGACGTACATAATATGTATGCACCAAAGGAGATTGCTCAGCTTCCATACATGTTTGGCCGAAAGACCAATAATCATGAAAAATTGTTTCCTAGATTTGAAATTATATATAAATTACTGTAGAAACGAATATTATTGACGGACACCCCTGAGAACTTCTATAAACCATATACACTGAATGATTTTGAGGTTATGTTTGTAAATAGGTAGATAGATATTAAAATAATAAAAAACAAATAAGTTATATAGCAAACAAGGGAAATCAAACCAAGTACCGAAATTATGTATTAGATTCAGGTATATAAAGCATGTAGATTAATAGATAGTTGCCTGTTTTTAAAGTTATTGCATAAGAGTAACTTTTAAAATCAAATATCATCTATGCATTTCCGGTTATAACAAGGTACTCTGTGACAGAAACTGTGTGTTATTTGTGAATGAGCCACAGATTAGAGAGAATTTTTTAACTCTCGTTAACTAAAGAAAGCTTATTATTTTTGTTATGTTTATATTATAACCATATTTTAGATTTTAAGTGTATCACACCTTATAATGTGTTTATGGAGGTGTTTGGTGAAAAATGTATGGCAATAGACTTTATGATGTCGCCTACCATCTATAATATTTGTCTTAGCTCTTACATTTGCATGTAGTAAAAATGATAATATACTTATGGATATTAATACCACAGTGTAATAAAAAAAATGTTTTATTTTATTGATCTTTACAAAATAGATTTGTTTTGATGTTATATAAACAATTTCGATCAGTCTATGGCTGAATGTTACTACACCCATAGCCATTAAAAATGATTCGTATGTTTTCCAAACCGGTAAAATTAAAAGTCCTTTTTAAAATGAATATATTATACAAAGGTGTCCGTTAAAATCTAACGACTGTAAAATAAAGTATGAATTACGCCAAGAATTACCGTATATGTTAATATTTTTGTACATTTGGGTGAATTTGAGCAATCTCCTTTAAACTTGATCGGTCCAAAAGTAATTCGAATGTAACAGACAGCAAGACCACCGAGTGATTCCATAAGGTTTACGGTTTTGCCTTCTAAGATATGGAACCCTAATAAGGGTTCGTTATAATAATTAACAACATTACCTGTTGTTATTAACTCAGTTAAAAAATTGTAATAGAGCATGTTACAGCGATTTCTAGCGAAAGCAACGTGATTCAACATTCAGCCACAGTGAAAGTGCCTCGAAGGCGTAACGAATTATTTCGACCAATCAGCTTCGTGTATCAGATTATGTTGGCTTAGTTAGTGTTTATGTTTATATGATAAGATACACAAATCAGACCAGGCTTAATTTCCGTGTAATAAACATATTATCAGAGAGCCGTAATCGTATCGTTATTGTCAAATTTTATATGAAAGGAGCCTGTTTGTTTTTACGTCCATCCGTAGGTTAGTTTTCTAAGAAATTTTAAGTATGAGACACGGAGCTATCAAAATTCGTGCTTTGGCCACTGAGCAGCGCGTGAGCAAGTTTTCTTCAAATATTTGCACGTCCCTTCGGTGATTTTACTAAAGAAAGGTTTCATTCAAATCTTTCTACGTCTCTTTGGTGATTTTACTAGACGTGTGCCCAGTGCTGCCATCTATAAACTGTATTTGTTATTACTTACGTAAATAATCTAGATACTCAGATTACGGAATAAGAGGCAGATGGAGCGCATGTAGGGTTATAGTCCAGACTTTGCCCGGATCTTTAAAATATTCAGCAATTAACAGCACGGAGGAGCTCGAGATATTAATTTTTTGGTCACCCATCCAATGACCAATCGCTGCGAAAGTTGCTTAATTTCAACGATCG